AAAAACTACAATGTTTTAAAGGTAATAGCATTAAAATATTTTAACTGTTTTTAAATAAATGTATGGATTTTTTCCACAAAGTTGGAACAGATTCCTGACAGAAAAGATGGAATAAGGTAACAAAGGCTTAAGACTCATCATGAATGATGACTTCCTTCCAGACTAAAGGAAGCCTGTACACATAGAAGGAACATTGTCTGAATCATAACAGAAATGATTCATAGAACTGTAGGACAGTTTGGATTGTAAAGGACATTCAAATATCATCCAGTCCAGCCCCTCTGCCATAGGTAGGGACATCTTTCACTAGATCAGGTTGCTGTGCGAAGAAGAATGACATTGATGACACTTAAAATCAAGGAGTTTGTGAATAACCTTGCAGCTGAGGAATGGGCAAAGCTTTCAGGTGCCTACGCACATGCAGGTGGGGAGTGACCATACTAAAGACTGAGACAGTCACAGAATCACAGAACAGTAGGGCTTGGAAGGGACCTCTGGAGATCATCTAGTCCAGTCCCCCTGCTAAAGAAGGATCACCTAGAGCAGGTTGCACAGGATCGCGTCCAGGCAGGTTTTGAATATCTCCAGAGGAGGAGACTCCACAACCTCTCTGGGCAGCCTGTTCCAGTGCTCGGTCACCCTCAGAGTGAAGAAGTTTTTCCTCATATTCAGATGGAACTTCCTGTGTTCCAGTTTGTGCCCACTGCCCCTTGTCCTGTCACTGGGCACCACTGAGAAGAGTTTGGCCCCATCCTCTTGACATCCGCCCTTTAGATGTTTGTAAGTGTTGATGACCTCCCCGCTCAGCCTTCTCTTCTCCAGGCTAAACAGACCCAGCTCTCTCAACCTTTCCTCATACAAGAGATGCTCTAGTCCCCTAATTATCCTCGTAGCCCTTTGCTGGACTGTCTCCAGTAGTCCCCTGCCTGTCTTGAACTGGGGAGCCCAGAACTGGACACAATTTTCCAGATGTGGCCTCACCAGGGCAGATTAGAGGGTGAGGATAACCTCGCTCAACCTGCTGGCCATGCTCTTCTTAATATACCCCAGGATACCATTGGTCTTCTTGGCCATGAAGGCACATTGCTGGCTCATGGAGAGCTTGTGGTCCACCAGGACCCCCAGGTCGTTCTCCACAGCGCTGCTTCCCAGCCCATCAACTCCTAACCTGCACTGGTGCTTGAGTGTAGGGTGCAGGACCCTGCACTTGCCCTTGTTGAATTTCATCAGGTTCCTCTCTGCCCAATTCTCTAGTCTGTCCAGACAAACATCCTTCAAGAGAAAGATAAGTCAGGAGGGTGGAAATAATCAAATAGGAGATGAAAAAGCAGGAAGACATTTCAATAGCTCTTCAAACACACTGCAAAGAAAGGAGCCAAAACCGTTCTACACAAATGCTAGAAACCTAAGAAATGTGATGGATGAACCACAATATTGGCTAAATATTAGAGGATATAATATTGGCTAAATAGACCTTTTGATCTGTGATGGCCATTCTTATTTTCTAGTCAGCCTATATCTGCTTTTTCAAGTCAAAACCGGTCTGGGATATAAATGGGCTGAAATGTTATTTTTACAACTTTGTTCCAAGTGTGAAATGCATAGCCAAACCCGTAAGCCTGCATAAAGGAGCTGAACAGCTCTGCTGAGCACAATATACAGAGACTGTGACCTACTGAGTACCATGTGGCTGAGCTCTGATGCACCATCATAATGTCAGAAAGTAAAAATAACACATCTGATCTTAGAGGGAACGGGAGTTACAAGATAAATTTCAGTCACCCATGCTCTTGGATTGCCATTAATCCCTGCAGTAGGCACAGATGGAAAGTGTTAATAAGAATAAACTGGGAAGTAAACCCTACTTAAAAAAACCCAAACAACCCTGGAAAAGAGAAACCCTCCAACTTTAGATTGGAAGCAAGGGGAGCTTTGCCAGGTGTGGGAGTGCAGAGAGACCTTTGAGTGCTGCACACAGCTGCAGCTGTGTCTCTGTCTTTAGTGAGTGCTTGTTTGCTCTGTCTGGGAGCACACACTCTCCACATGTACTTCTGAACTCCTGCTGATGGCAGGTGAAGCTAATCGGCCAGATAGAACTGGCTCTAGGTATCAAAGAGAGCTATCAATGCCCTATTCTGACAGGCAGTAGCAAGAATTAATACGGGTAGTAATTAGTCACTGCATTTGGCTTCTTTTCACTATTAAAAGAGACCCCTTCTCCTATAGGAATGACATGAATATGTATTTGCCAGAGTCAGGCTGGATTGGAATGGTTTCTGGCATTGCCAAATAGAAATCCAGAGCTGTCCCAGTGAGAGCTCTGGAGGATCATCGTGGAAAATGCTCGGTCACAGGAAGAAGGCAGGTAAATGGTGTCAAGTGGGGCCAGGGTTCCCTTGGCTGACTGCTACCAAGCAGTGACTAGGCAAATCTCTGATGCCTAGGAATGTGTGGGGTTTCCTCTCTCTGAAATGAGTCTCATCAGGCTGGGAGAGCAAACCAGCCAGACCTCTGAGACTTCCCAAGGAATAAAGTGGGATCATGCTTCCCACCAGAAAGCAATGCTGGTTTTTGCAGGACCCCGGGCAGCTAAGACTTGGGAACAGCTCTGCTAACGTCTGCTGCCAGTAAAGATTGAAAGTGAGAAGCTTTCATGTTCAGACTGAAACCAACATACAAATAGAGATGTGTTTGGACTTTGTCCCCCACTCCATCTGCATAGCATTTCCACTTGACATTAGCTAGTAGCCCCCCACCAATAGTAAGAGCTGGGAAGGAACATCTGAACAGCTAATTCCAGGTCCTTCCAGCAAAATACACACAGCACCCCAAGGATGGTCTGGAAACCAGAGAGACACAGTGGTGTGATAACAAGGTCACTGCAGACAAGCAGCAGCAAAGGCACTCTTCCATCTGTCTAAATCTTTGAGTACTTTTGAACATAATGGTGTACTGAGGCTAAAGGACTGGAAATGTGGGATGACGTGCTTAGACGCACAACCTCTATTTGCCCTTGTGAAGATTACGAGCCATACCTAAAAGCGCATTGCCACAGGATCAGGTAAATTGGCTTTTATTGAAACATACTGTAATATGGGGGGGGGCAGGGGGGTGCTGGGAGGGAAGATTCCAATTTAACACAAGTACATTGCATTTCAGGCTCCCAAATAACTATTGATATCTGCTGTCCTGGAGCAAATCATATCTTCCTTGACAAGTCAGACAGCTGCTCTTTCTCTATCTTCCTTTTGTTATCTTTAATAGCCATGGTTTGTTGTGGTACCTTGAAAAAAATGTTTGCGACTCACTTGATGGATGTCTCACCTCCTGCTATTAACCCGGGTTCATAGGTTCATCTAATGCCCATTCTTGCCTACAAAACTCAGACCAAGTGTTTTTGAAATAAGAGTGTGCTGGGTGCCACTGCATAAGAGGGGGGGAGTGCACACTGTGTACAGCTTTCCTTCCCCTCCAGCTGGCAGCCGGTGGGGTGAACAAGCTCTCCTGATCACCCTAAAATACAGTTAAGGTAGAGGCAACCTCTGGAGCTCATCTGGTCCAGGATCCTGCTCAGAGCAGGGCCAGCTTTCAAGTCCTATAAGACTGCTCGGGGTCTTCCCCAGCTGAGGCCTGACTATTTCCAGGGAAGTAGATCCCACAGCTTCTCAGGCAAATGTTCCCACATTTGATCACAGTCATTGTGAAGAATTTTTTCCCATTTATTTAAGGTATGGGAATGCTGGTATCTTAAGTACAGGAATACTAACAATTGTAAGATAGGTCTGAAGAAAACCATGGTGATATTTGACCGATTTCAGCCAGACTTTGAACTGAAAAGACAAAGCAAATCTCTTTCAGGCTATCAGCTGTCCTAAGGTGTGTCAAAGGAAATAAAGACAAATGCGGTAGAAATGGCTGGGGGTGGTGATAGTGCAGCTGTTCCTTCACTTTCCTCTGTCAGACTTTGCTGCCCCCAAATCTCAGTCAACCCTATGGACTGTGTCAGGTCTCCTCGGGCTGCTCCAGGTCAGCCCCAAAATGTGCCAGGTCAGCCCTAAAAACCTTCAACAGCAAACCAAAGTGTGTGTGTGTGTGTGTGTTAAGCTAAGCGTCTTTGCAAGGCAAAGGAGGAGTGCTTGTATTGTCCATTCACAGCTGTAGGGGCACAGCCTTCTGCATACAGGCATTACAAAGAGCTGGACAAGTTAACAATTTGAGCAGCCATGATCCCTTCTGCAGTCTTTCTGTGGCACTTACCCACCTGCCTTGCCACTGAGAGAAAAAAATGCTGCTGGAGACCTGTACCTGTTTGGACAAACTATTTTGGGTTTCTGTCCAAAATCATCAAAGGGCACCTGATAACAACTGCCAACTGCTAGCGTGCATTTAGGAGCAATCTTTAAACTACAGCATTTAAAAATCTGCTTCTAGGGAACATCCTTAAGTTGACAGGTATTGTGGAAGTCATATGTAACCCAGTATTAGCTACCCAGGTGGCTCTGCTTTTTGTGTCTCTATTTGCCTGATTAATCCATGATTAATAACTAGTGCTAGCTGTACACCCCTAGTCAGGTATTTACATTCCTAAATGGGAAAAAACAACCCCTTTGGACCAGACTATAGAACAAGCATCACTTTGGAGGGAGGGGCAAGACTAACACATTTAGTATAGAGTTTTGGCAAATATAGTAATAAACGGCCCTCTTCGTACTTCCCAGTGGTGCACACCCATGCCCATTTTTTGTGTACTGATGGAGCATTCAGCATTGAGATTGGCCCTTCCAACTCTCAAGTGGGGAGAAGGGATTTCTGCTCTAATGTGTGTATTGTGTGGTCCTTCTGGCTCTCTTGTATTGTCCTTGTACGGCTGAGACTGAAAGAAAGGAATTTTGGTTTTTAAATCTCACATTTGTAGCTATCAGCTAAAAAGAACACTAACAGAAAGAGAAATTTAGATCCTTCACCATGAAATTAACAGCCATGCTTTGTGATTTGAACAGGTCCCCAGTGGTACCCTTCCCGTGTTGGCCTGCAACTAGAACGCAGTAAGTATTCATATGGTTGAATATAGACACCTAATGTATTACTAATCCTCTGGCAAGTTCTCCTTCTAACAGTATTGCTCTCTCCATATGTGTTATTGGGTGAACTGTTAACACTTTTGCATTAATTTATATCAATGATTAACTTATTAGCTTTCTCATTAATAGTCTAATGGTTTTCATAACCGCTAGATAAAAATATTTCAGAGTACAGTATATGATCAAATAATGATGACAAGGAAGTTTAAAACCATTCACTCACTTCTCTCACACACTGCATTACCTGTTTTAACACTTGCTCACAGCCTCATCAGAAGATGCAACTAGCTGCAGGAAGCAGCCTCTGGTTTTGTGCCTGTTCTTAGTGGACATGGCAGCGGGACATGAAGCTGCCACAGCATTTGGTCTGTGGACACATAGCATTGTAAAGCCCTAGAAAATTAGGGCTCAGCACCCGGTGGAATTTAGCACCCTCGCGGACAGTCAACAAACATATATTGAAAGGGAGACACAATACACAAAGTGGAAAAGAGAAAAGAAGTGTTGCAGCCATGACAATGCCCCATGCCAGTGGCTGTTGAGGTTTCCTAATATCCAGCTCACTGCCTTTATTGAAAAAAAAAGACAACCAGATATTGCCATTTTGTATCTCTGCCTGTACTCTAGGTCTATCACGACTGGAAGCAGATGCCTCAGAATACTGTAAAAAGTAATGTAATGCTCAGGTACATCTGGTCTGCCTAGATTAGAGAGCTTACAAAGAAATCTTGAACTGCGGGGCTTTGCCCAAGAAGTTGTGCTCATCGTAATGGTGCCATCTATTGTAAAATAGCCTGAGAATGTAAATGCTTCAGCAAAAGATATCGGTGAAGGGGACACTGCATAACATTGACTTTTCCATTAGTCTTGCAAGACAGAACAAAAAGTGCTCTGTGAAGTTGTCATGTGTGATTGCATGGCATGTCTCTAATGGTCTAGATTAACAGAGATAGCATCGTAACAATTGCTATGCATTGCCACCCCGTGTCATGTCAGCCTAATACTTTTGTTAAAATAAGAGGAGAATAACTCTCATAGAAATGCTCTAAGTTGCTAACCTGGAGAATAAGTACCAAGTCACCAAAATAAATCAGAATACAAGTTGGGCCCACACCTTGACCATTAGCAGGGCAACCTACGTGTTACGCTGAGCCTCTGAGAAGATGCGTGTTGTTCATGCCATCTCCTCTTCCCTTTTTGCCATTACAGATGGGCCCTATTTGAAGGATTCCATTAACATTCAAACCCTTGCTGTTTCCTCCATCATTACTCTGTATTTTACAGACCTAGGTCAGCAGGTCGGTTGGACCACAGTAAGTATGTCCTTGTAACAATCAACATGATACATCTTAATGTACAATGTGTTTTACCATCAAATTACTCCAACTTCCTCAGCCTGTCCTTCCCTAAGTCAAATGGTGCAATTACTTTATCAGCAGTCAAAACAGAATTAAATGGATATGAGCCAAGTTATCAATGAGCTAACTCTGACATCCAATTAAAGATTAGAAGGTGGACATAACAATATTGCCTGAGGGAAAAAAAATCAATTTTTAAAAACATTTTTAGCTTATCTGGGGTTTATATGCCTGTGCAGGACCTGTAGCCAAATACATTCATTTGCTGCAAGGCTCCTCAGCTTTGAAAGTGGAAGGTATTAAAAAGAAAAAAATGGATTTCTGGTGATCTTGTTACTAATGCAGGAAAATTATTGGATGGGAATGTCTTACTCTTTGTTCACCTAAACAGTTCTGAGAGAGCGGTGAGGCCAAGGATTCCAGGCAGAAGATGCCCAGCCAGGCTCAGGAGTCCCAAAACTTCTGAAGCTCTTTGTAAAACAAAAGCATTTGCCATGAGCAACAATACCTGCATTATGCTGAGGGTAGAACCACGATCTGTTTTTACTTCTGGTCTCAGTTTGACTTCAGTTATATTCTGGTAAGCAGGTGTTGGAAGGTCAGGGTGGTGGGAGAGAGGCAACACATTCCACCCAAATGGGGTCGTGGGGAACTCTAACCTTATGGGCTCATCTAAGCAAGGACAAAGTGAAAGATTCAATTCTTTCACAGCCCAAAGATAGACGGCAGAAGGGTTTGAAAGGACAGTGAAGGAATGGGAGGTAAAGAGACCTTTCCAACATCCTGCAACAGACATAGGTGGCGGAGCTAAAAGTAGGCTTGCTACTAGACTGACCTAGCTTTTGCTGTAGTTTGCATGTACTGCGTTAGCTGGAGTAACACACAGCCCACATCTGTATATTGGGTAACGAGATTTCTGATTTCTGCAGTGAGAAACATGAATAAGATAGAATTACAGTTTCTGAAAGCCATAAAAGCCATGCTGAGTCTATTCATAGCAATGGAAAGCAAACCACCAATTGCTTCCAATTCCTTTAATGAAGCAAGTGAGTTTTTGCTAACTGGCATCATGGCTATAGGCCAAATAATTCGATTCTTACCTTAGGCAGTGCACAGAGCCCACCCTGCGGTGACCACAACGCCCACTGTCAAGCCACTGTCCTTCCTTGGCTGTGCTATATGGATGGAGCTTGTGAGTGTCAGGTCTTTAAGCAGCTGGCAGATGATAATATTGTTTCCTTTCTCCAGTAGGTCACTATGGACTACAGGAAGAATTACTGCTAGACACTTAGAATAGACATGCTATTTCACAGCTCCTTATCCATTAAACAGTACACTCAAGGTGGGTGTTACTGCCAGAACTGCCCTTGACTTTGGAAAGAATCAGCTTCTGGATCAGCACTGTAAAGTCACATATGCATCCGACCTGCTCAAGCTCAAGTGCATTTCTCTCTCTCCAGGGAAGCAGACTGCCCTTAGCAGTGAAAACTCTGGGAGGTTTTAGCCCCTATGAACAAGAACACGACCTATATTTTTCCTTCCTAGTTCTAACAACAGGAACCAAATCCCCAGGTGGTGACAAGCAGTTTACTTCAGTGGAGTTAGAGCAGTTCACACTGTGTGACCTACCCATTTCAGTAGAGGTCTGTGAGTTTACCAAGGCTGAGGCTTTACCCCACTGATTGCCACACTGATTAATGGCCAACTGGGGCCATACTGATTAGTGCTAGTTGGGTTCCTGTTTCTGCCCCCAACCCATCCCATCACCTCTCAACCATGGAATGTCCTTGCAAAGCAAAATTGTGAGTAGTGCAGACTTCTGTTTGGTACGACTAAGTAATCTGCAAGAACCTTATTTATTCTCTCCTTTCCTGGTGGTTTATGTAGCCTAAGACAGTAACATAACTAAAGCTTAATATCCCATTATAAATAGTGTAGTTATGACTAGGCGTTGATACTGCAGGCAGTGGCATTTTTTTTTATGATTTAATCTGTGTGTGCAGAAAGTTGACTCCATGAGTTTCTGAATATTCATGTTATCCCGTTCTGTTCCATATTCTAAATTGTCTCCATTCTCAGCAGGAGAAATCTTCTTCCTAGCCACATCATATAAACAGTCAAGAGATTTTTTTATATTATAGCTAATCTATAGCAATAGATGAAAAGGAAGATTGTATTCTAACAATAGCAATTAAGGATGCATTTGTACACAGGATGTGCAGTTTTACTGCCATTTTTACTGTGCTTAGAGCTCCCATTCTCCCATCCCCCTTGATGCTCTATCAGATTTATGCACACAGTGAGAAATGCTTCTGATTTAAAGGGTTGACATTTAAATAAACAAGGCACAGAATAAAAATATTCTTTTCTCATCAGCGAAATGATAGCTGAGGTACAAAGGGCCACATTCAGGTCTGGACTCCAAAAACAGACACAGAAGCACATGGAGATGTGTTGGTGCTCCAGAGGTCAATGCATTGGGCATGGATCTGTCTAGGAGAAAACTAAGCACAGAAGTGAGTCCCCTAGGGCTTTGTCACCTCATTGGAGATCACACTTGAGATGCCCACTTGAGAATCAAGATCACTAAGACCCCCAATGCTGGGGATTTACACCAAGACAATGGGCTCGTGTTTTTTAAAAGGGGAAAGAGGTACCCACCTCCACCTCCTGGGAGCAGTACCCTCTCGAGCCATGTTGTAAAATAAAAGATGATGCTGTTTTCTGTTTCCAAACAGTTTGGGTCCTTAAGTCTAGGAGCATATTTCTGAATCAAGAAACATCAACTTCCCTTTTGGACCATGCATGGTCTTTGATTTACAGTCCTTGTCACGTTCCACCTTGGTGGCTTCAAGAGTTTGTCATCTTCTGCTGTTACTCAATCCCTCTGTTGGAGGCTGCTTCTTTGTAGGAAGGATGTTTCCCTCTCATCCTCAACCTTCTTAAAACATGGTTGCACAGTGACTGAAATATTTTTGGGTGTTTTCTGCTGTGAAAGGCCAGACATCCCCTGGGCTCAGGCAGCACCACAGCTCTGAGATTGGTTGACCAGATTTCAGCAAGTTCCAGAGGCTGAGTTGCTTTGAGGGAAGAGAGGGGACAAACTGGGGTAGGGGATTTGCAGTTCTCCTCCAATAGAGCAATTACTTCTTAATCTCTTTTGAGAATGAGGCCCTTTCCTGGGATAATGTGGGTAGAAATCCAGCCTCAGATGGCTCTTTTAGAACAATGGAGGCCCTGAAGGCTCATCTCCAGAAAGCAACTGAGGGAGAAAACAAAACCTGTTTCTTAGTATCATGGATTATGTTAGAACTCTCTCTCTACTCTGCCTTCATTTTTATAAAACAAATATTATCTGAAACACATAATTTACTTCTGCACAAGATTTACCAATTCCTTTACCCTACCTGGAGGGGATAGTTGAGGTTTGCTGACTGATGCTGCAGAGATACTAATGGGAACTGAGTTTACAGATCTGTTCTATATGCCTCCTGCAAAGATTGTACCCCAGGGGTGTTTGAAATTCCCACCACTGGAGTGATGGGTTTTATTTTTAATCTGTCCAATTTTGGGCCTAAGCATATTTGACAGAGACCTATTTTTATATATTGCAATGTGGCATGAGGCTGAGAGAGCTGGGTCTGTTTAGCCTGGAGAAGAGAAGGCTGAGAGGGGATTTCATCAACACTTACAAATATCTAAAGGGTGGATGTCAAGAGGATGGGGCCAGACTCTTCTCAGTGGTGCCCAGTGACAGGACAAGGGGCAGTGAGCACAAACTGGAACACAGGAAGTTCCATCTGAATATGAGGAAAAACTTCTTCACTCTGAGGGTGACCGAGCACTGGAACAGGCTGCCCAGAGAGGTTGTGGAGTCTCCTCCTCTGGAGATATTCAAAACCTGCCTGGACGCGATCCTGTGCAACCTGCTCTAGGTGATCCTTCTTTAGCAGGGGGGTTGGACTAGATGATCTCCAGAGGTCCCTTCCAACACCTACCGTTCTGTGATTCTGTGATGTGACTTTTTGTAAAATGGCTGGCATTTTACCACTAAGAATGCATACTGCTGCTGTATTCAAAAGGAAAAAGCAAACTATTCTTCCTG